CCTCTTGGTCTAGAGGTAGGGACACTATCACTCTGCCACAAGACAGTCCCATTGCTTTTTTTAAAATTTAACCTATTTTTTCTAATCAACCTGTTCAGAGATGTTGTTACACACCCTGGAGCAGGTGGGACTTAAAACCAGGCCTTCCAGTCCAGGGGTAGGGACACTACCACCACGGCACAAGAGGGTCCTGTCCTCTTTTTTCATATATATCTTGAGGAGCAACAGCTGTCTCTGAAAAGTAATGTGACATCATCAGGAATATGATCTAAGTAGCAGTTTGGTTAAATCCTAGATTAGATTAGATTGCTGAGCTCCACTTGAAAGAAAAAACTCTTCAGATGATCAGCGACCAACAATTATAATTCATCCCAAGTCTCCACTTAACCTTTAAAACTGAAAACAACAGTGACGACAGGGTTGACATCGATCATTTGAATAATGTGTTGCATGAAGAGTGTTAAATAATGGGAAAACAGCTGATCCTAGTTACACCAGTCTAAAATCTGTTCCTTTGCATAGTCTTGCTCAGTCACATGGCTCATCCTCCACTAGACTTACAGACTTTTCTCAATTGACATTGTTCGCTTAACGTCACAGTTTGATTGTTTTTTCACAACTTAAGGAGAGATAGTGGTATAGCGGTAATGCCACAGGAGTAGTGATTCAGAGCCCCAGGCCAATGTTCTGGGGAAATAAAAGGAAAAGACTGCAGATTCTAGAAATCTGAAATAAAATCAGTTCACGCTGGAGAAACTCAACAGGTTTGGCAGCATCTGTGGAGACAGAAACAAAGTTAGTGTTCAGAGCGTTAACAATTCTGAAACGGAGTCCCATCAGACTCAAAACATTAACTCAGTTTCTATCTCCACAGATACTGCCAGGCCTGCTGAGTTTCTCCAGTATTTTCTGTTTTTATTTTATTTGTAATGTGCTAAAAATATACATGTGAATCTCACCATGGCAGATGATAAAATTTGAATTTGATTCATAAATCTAGAATTAAAAGCTTGTCCAACTGTGACGAAAGGACCATTGTCAGCTGTCGTAAAAATGTATCTGGTTCATAAATGCACTTTACAGAAAATAAACTGCCAGCCTTGCCACATCCGGCCTAGATGTGACTTCAGACCCATTGCATTGCGGTTGAGTCTTAACTGACCCTTTCTTCCCTGGAGCATCAGAGGTTGAGGGTGACCTTAGAGTGGTTTACAAAATCACAGGAGGCATAGACAAGGTGAATAGCCAAGGTCTTTTTTCCAAGGGGAGAACTAGTGTTAGCCAGAGGCTGCAGAGAGAGAAAGAGAGAGGCAGACAGACAAGCTGCTGACATTGCTGCCTGGGAGATGCTGACCAGAGGCTGTAGTCAGAAAGATGGAGACTCGGGGTGCCAGTCACCAATATCGCTAACAGGAAATACCAGATGTGAAAAAATGCTGACTTAAAGAAAGAAGCAGCTCGTGAACTGAGGATAACACAGACCTAGGAGCTGGCCTGAGCCGATCAGAACCACTCGGTGCCTAAAAAAAGAGTAAGAAAGATGATGTCAAGTAAAAGCCTTATTTGGACGAGGGGTGATGAGGTAATGCTACCTAAGTCTCTGGTCCAGGGCCAATAAAGGTAAAGACATGTGATAATTGAATTAACCTGAGCCAACAGGAAAAAGACAACCTCAAAAAAGGTTAAAAGAAGACCCTCGCAGTATGTGGCCAGCAAAAACTCCAGAGATTAACTTTCATAGAAGCACAACCGTCAACAGGGATGTGGTGATCCTGGCATCGAGTGCGGTATCTGGCCAATGTCAGTGCTCGGCAGCTACAGCAGCGATTCTGCACAGGTATTTATATTCTGTGACCTTTCTGGAAGTGTTAGTAGCCTTTTGTGGGTGTACAAATAGGTTCTAATCCTTTCAGGAAAATGTATGAATTACTTGTGTGTTGTCTAATGTATAGGCCATACATGTACGTTTACATAATACGTAAATAAAAGAGATGAGTGAGTTACGGTAAAAGCGACTCTTCTCTCTGTATGAGCCGATAACTGGAGCCAACGTTGCCGGGCTTCAACACGAGACTGCATAGATTTAAGGTGAGAGGACAGAGAGTGGCGTGTGCATGGAATGAGTTGCCAGAATACATCGTAGAGGTGGGTACAATTTCAACAATTAAAAGACATTTCGACAGGGGCCTGAACAGGAAAGGTTTAGCGGGATATGGGACAATTGCAGGCAAATGGGATTAGTCCAGTTTAGAATATCTGGTCAGCATGGACAGGTTGGAACAAAGGGTCTGTTTCCATGCTGTATGACTCTACGACCCCTGACGTGGCCTACAGAGCTAATTGGTTCAACAGCAATCAAGAATTGGAAATAAATGCCATCCCTGCCAACAAGGTCAACAACTCATGCAAGAAAAAGCAACTCTGATGCTAGTACCCCTACCGAAAAATGGCTCATCAATATCAAAACTATTAATGCCACTCTTCTGTTGGCTTCCTCTTTCCTCAAATCCCTGTTATATAATAAAAGTAAGTACAGCATTTTGAAGGAAGGTGTTTATGAGTTGAATGCAGTTTATATATTTTTTTAAAGAAGTGTGAAGTTGTTCCGTTTGGTAGGAAGAATGCGTGAGACAATAAAACTAAAGGGTTCAACTGTAAAGGGGTTGCAGGAGCAGAGGAACATGGGTATTTGAGTACATTAGTCATTGAAACCAGCAAGTCAGGTTGAGAGAGCACTGCATAAAGCAACCTGGGCATCAGTAGGGGTACTGAGTACAAAAGCAAGGAAATTATGGTTAACCTATATAAAACTCTGGTGCAACTTCAACTAAAGTACTGCACCCAGTTCTGAGCAACACATGGATACAAAAAAGTGGATACAAAAAAAATTTACAAGAATTGTTCCAGGGATGAGGAACTTCAGTTACATTGAAAAATTGAAGAGTTTTGGACTATTTGCCTTGGAAATTTAAAAAAAAAGATTCAGCACTGGCGTTCAAATTCCTCAGGTGTCTGGAAAGGTTAGATTTGGAGAAACTGTACATATTGATGGAAGCATTGAAACCCAGAGGACACAGATTTATGGTGATTGGCAAATAAAGCAATGTATGATTTTTTTTTTTCATGCTAGTGGTTACAAACTGGAATGCAAGGTCTGAGAGAGTTTCAGAGGCAGGTTTAACTGAAGCTTTCAAAGTGAGTCGCATCATTATCCAAAAAGGCAAAATTTGATAGGGTACAGGGAAAAGGCAGCACGAGATGAATTGTCCTCTCAGAGGGTCAGCACAGACATATTAAGTCAAATAGCCTCCTTCTTATTTGTAACTATTCTATGATTCTATTCAAAAAATTGATGGAAATAGATGGAGAAAACATTAGGTTTGATTAGGGAGCATGCATTGCCAGGAATATTAGCACAATTAAAGTATGGGTGACATTTGGTATCAGTAACATTGAATCGTAAATATTGTTACATCACAAGTGAACACAGCTCAAATACAGATTTAGTGAAATGAATGAGTGGAGAGTTTTGTTATCACCATTGCAAATATTGCCAATTCCCCATTTAAGAACAGCAAATGGTTGAGAATTGCAACATTCGTGCACTGAGATTTTCCAACATTTTGTAGCAATCGATTGTATCACAGTATGAATGGCTAATTGGAAGAGGATGTTCAAGGTCAATGTACACTGGTCCTGGACAACACTATCCAGGGAAGCAACTGGAGTTCACAATATACAATGAGGCTTAGCTTTCCCTCAACACTTCTCTCCATGACCCCAATGCCTCTGTTTTGACGGGTAGCAATTCCTTCAGGGCATTCCTGGCTGGCACGGTGGCTCAGTGGTTAGCACTACTGCCTTACTGTGCCAGGGGCCAAGGTTTGATTCTGGCCTCGGACAACTGGCTGTGTGGAGTCTGCACATTCTCCTCCTGTCTTTGCGGGTTTCCCTTGGGTGCTCTGGTTTCCCTCCACTATCCAAAGATGTGCGGGTATTGCGGACAGGCCATGCTGAAGTTGCCTGTTTGTGTTCAGGGATGTGTAGGCTGGGTGGGTTTGTCATGGATAATGTGAAATTACTGGATACGGTAGCTGGGGGGGTTCCAGATCTGGGTGGAATGTTCTTCGGAGATTGGGTGTGGACTCCATGGACCGAATAGCCTCCTTCTACGTCATAGGAGTTCTACGATCCTAATCAAACACCATTAGAACGTTAATTTGTATCTTCCTACATTATAGGCACCGTAGTCATTGTAATTTTATAAGAACAATTTCCTGATCTAAATCTTCAGAATTTCTTTGTTTTCCTTCTGGTAGCCAGGAGTACAGCAATCCACTCATTAAATCTGGTAATCCAACTAAAAACTCCACATCCCACAAAATGTCAGAAGCTGGGAGTAACTGTGGAAATGTATTAACACAGCAATCCAATGGAGTTCAGAAGCATGCAATGTAATCATTTGGAAATGTGCAATGCAATGATGCCATCTGGATTGACAGAAGTTGATAGCACAACACTGCACTATGTGGGAAGTAGATTCAAGAACATTCCTAAGCATTGTCCACTTTATCAAAATGCAATATCTGCATTTTATTTGTACATTTGTTCTTCTAAAAAAGGACATTTCAAACAACCTCTGCAACGAACATAGCTAAAGTTTTGTCACTGCATGGTAGTGAGCTCATCTAATTCCATATTAATTAGGTGATCAGTGCAGAAATTTAAAGACTGCTTCCACTATTGGAAAAAGATAGTTAGTTGGATTTTTGTTTTTTTTTCAGGATATTAGACTGTGGTAAGTTTAAATCTGCTAAGTATAACAGCAACAGAAGTTTTGCTGCTGCTAAAATATAGTTACAGTTTCATTCTCAGCACAAGATGATCTTTTAAACTTTACAACCCATGCATGCAATCTGCTTAGTAAACCTACGGTCCACTGCTGGCATGGGCTTCAGAAGACAAAAATAATAACAAGTATTGAAATTACAAGAACTAACATGGCGTTACTGGTGACTGTAGCCGATACTTCAGCTGAAGATATAACTCCACACTTGGAACATTTGAGCGTCATACCGTAAAGGGGAACTGTCATCTGACTGCAATTAAAATTAAAAGACTGAAACAAAAATTGAACTTTAACACAAAAATCAGAGACAAATAATATTCATCCAGAAAATAAAACTTTGCAAGATTGTTCATTTTGTCAGTATTTAAAACATAAAACACACATGTAAAGAAATCCACTTAAACTGACAAACAACGTTCCATATTTCCTTGAAAAGAAGCAAGGTTTCACGAGCAAAGTCATTAAGTTTTGGTGTAAAATCCATCCCACATTAAATTTTACATATTTCCGCGGTGTGGGTTGAGATTTATTTCTTCCAGTTTGTAAAATAGTATATATTAAGTAAATATATTTTGAGTAAATAACCACATAATTATGTTAACGTTACTTTTAAATTTGTCAATTAAAAATCAAAGAAATGTAAGACAGCATCCTTTTTATTTGCCTTGGCATAAATTATTTCTCATTAATTTTCATTAATAATTATTGGATTCCTTCATAGATGCCTTCAAACTTATGTGGCCTCACCAAAGCGGTTGGACACCAATCTGCTACAAATTTCACTTTCAAATCTTTTTCAATACTTACACTCTTTATTCTGCCTGAAGGAATAAAGCATCTGGAATACTGTCTCCAGTTCTGGTACCACCCAAACCCGCATTATAGGATGGATATTATTAAGCTAGAGAGGGTTCAGGAGAGATTACCAGGATGTTGCCGGGTATGGAAGGATGAGTTATAAAGAAAGGCTGGGTAGGCTAGGACCTTTTTTCACTGCACCACTGGAGGTTGAGAGGACACCTTACAGAGGGGTATAGGTAGGGTTAAAGCTGGGTGTCTTTTCCCTAGGATAGCAGATTCCAAGACTAAGGGGCATATTTTAAGGTGGGAAGAGAGAGATTTAAAAAAGATATGAGGGGCCAAGCTTTTACACAGAAGCTAGTTCACGTGTGGAATGAACTTCCTGAGGAAGTGGTGAATGTGGGCACATTTACAACATTTTAGATAAGTACATGAATAGGAACATTTTGGAGGGATATTGGCCAGGAGCAGGCAGGTGGGATGAGTTTAGTTTGGGATGATGTTCGGCAGGAACTGGATGGAGCCAACAGTCAGTTTCTGTGCTGTATGACTCTATGACTCCTCGCAATGTATAAATGTTATAGAAAAAAAAGCTGTCCCTATCCTTGCTATTCTTTCCGTTGTTTAGTCGTCTCAATGTTACGTAATATGATAATGCATATAAGCAGTCAAAAATCACAAAGCATCCATTATTTTGATGGGAAAGCACCTGCAGGAGAAATGCTCATTATGCTTTCATGAGATGTTCACAAGTTACTTAATGAATAAGATAATCAGTTCAAGTTTGATTCTTTAATAATTGGTGAGAAACGGTTGGACAAACAATGATGAATAAAGAAGAGTCTGCAAGGTTTTGCTAAGGGCAAATCCTGTTCCACTAACTGAGTTTCCTGAAGAACCGACCTTCAAAAGGCGTTTGAAGAATTACCAGATGTAAGTTTGTGGACATAATTGAAGCCCTGAGGATAAAAAAGGGCAGCAACAGTCTACCCACAACAAATAGTATGCTGCAGTTTAAGCAGGCAGCTCCTCGCCGTTTTGTCCAGACCAAGAGGGATGGGCAATAAATGCTGGCCCAGATCCCACGAATGCACAGACGTACAAAAATTAGCTAACACATGGACAACAGAGAGTTGTGGTGAATAGATGTTTATCAGATTATAAGAAGGTATACAGTAGAGTTCCCTGGGAGTCAGTGCTAGGATACCAGTGGCTTTTGATATATATTAGTGACTAGGGGCATGATTTTATTTCCCCCATCCATGGGTTTAAAGGCAGGAGGGGCATGTAAAATCCAGACAGTGGTCTTCCCAACTCCCATCCACCCCTGGTTTGAAATTTTACAGAGTTCTGGTAAGCATCTGCACAACTTGCCTATTCTTCATCCTGTTGAGGACCTTAAATAGCCAACTAATGATGACTTAATAACCTTAAACAACCGTTACCCATATTTTACCAAACAGTGTCAAACTGCTGAGGGGCAGCCATCAGGATTGTGGTCGGTAAATTACCGTTATATTTTAAAAACGCCAACTGGAGATTTATGGGGTAGAGGATTAAAGAAAGCATGCCATTTAAATGTTAAATATATCTATGGAGGTGTCTGCACTTAATCAATTGCGTAAATGAATGTAACTTTCATAAACTCTCCAAACATTAAAAGGAGGAAAGAAGATGTAATACATAGAAATGAGGCATTGTCTATCTTAAATTTTAAAAGTCTGTAGATTATGGGAAAATAAATGGGACAGGCAGAATGTGGTTTAACTTGAAGAAATATCCTGAAATATAAGAATGGAAATCTTTTCAAGTAAAGTCTTAAATTCTCTTGGGAGCAGCTGAATAACATTGCAGTTTGGAGTCCTGTGATCAAATTCACTGCAAAGACAGTGCAGAGCTCTTTGACAGCTGCTGATGGTCTCCAATGAGAATGCTAAACTAGTGCCAAGAAGTGACAGTTCCCGAGCCCTACAATGCTGCTCGAATGATTGGGCTTGATAGCACGGAGACTTTCAGTCCGTTCCCCTGGCATGTGGAAGAAAGCAGGCAGAATATCTGCTCGCACTCGCTTGTGCAGTCCCAATGCAGCAAGCAGATGCTTCAGAATTCAACTTTGCACAATCTATACCGATGCATGAATATTATCAAGGATGTCTTTCATTATTTTTCTTCAAATAAAATTATATCCAACTGTGCGAAAAAGAGAGAATACTTATTTAGTGAGCCAAATGTACATTCTCAAAATCTACTGCAATTATCATTGCTGGAACTATTTGCATGAGATAGAGTTTCTGAAGAGAATGACATTTCAGAATTTTAATCTTGAATTCAACATAGGTTCTGATTACTTTGAATCAAGAAATCTCACTCAAAGATTTCAGGGCTCAGAGCGGTAAATAAGTTAATGCTACAGCCCGCTGACATATTGGAGAATAAACAAGTCAATATATAACCTGCAGATGCAGATTTAAATGTCTGTCTCTCTTGAATATTCTAAGTGCTCACGGGTGAGGCAAGGGTATTTTCAAAGGCAGGGAACAAATGACTGATAAACCTATGATACCCAATAAACAATCTGAGTGAAACACCTACATTTATTGCACAGCCTCCTAAATAGGAAATTACAAGTCCATATTAGCCTTTCCATCCAGCAGGATTGGCATAGTCAGGGGCACTAAACAGGAAGGAGAAGATAACCCATTGCCAAAATGTGTCTGCCCCTTTTAACTGACCCTAGATCAATTGAGGACAGCTTGCACCATGTGAGTGGAACGGGGTCACAGAGAGGGAGCTGCTGGCATTGGGTAAGAAGTTGGGGTTCAGAATAGGAACGTGGCTTCTGCAGGGCCTTTCCTTTCTGAAACACAGTCTCTTTATGTGGTGACCGAAGGGCCTTGAGTATCCTCTAGGCACAAAGATTTCCCTCTGGAATTAAATCACAGTGAAGTTGGGAAATGGCAGAACTCTCCCCACCTCAGCCTCCTGCTTGGCAGGCAGAAGGGACTGCTTAGTCTGTCTGGATTTTTCTCCATCTCCCCAAAATCTCACATTCCCAGCCTCTGCACTGATGGAAAACTTGAGACAAAGTGTCCTTCAACTTGCGTTTAAAGGCCCTTAATGAGTCTTAACCTGCATGGCCTACCAATATTTTCAATTCTTTTTCCCCATGCCAGGCAAAGTCCATAAATTTCAAATTAATATTCAAGTTTAAGAATTAAGTCAAAAGATTTTATTTGAATCAGCACAACAGAGTAATAACAATTGGGATGTGAGATGATGTCTGGGATCTCACCCCACATATTATGGTTTAATTTTCCAAGCACTTTCCTGAGAACACATGTTTTCAGGTTCACAGGTCAAAAGCAGTGGATCCCACATCACACCTTTTTTGTTCTGAGATTTGTGGGCCTTCCCGGCTCCAATGCCGAGCACAAACATCCCCTGACCTTAAAAAGAGCATGTTTTGCTCATGCTGCTGAATGCAAAAACATTTACAAAGACAGTCAGTTTGACTGACCTGAGTTAAATTTTCAGTGCAAACAGGCTACTCAACCTAAAGGCTAAAGAAAATCCCTTTTACAGTCTTCTCTTAATTGCATTCACAATGGTCATTACACTACTTCCTGGCACTCGTTGCATGACAGCAGAGTTAAGGGTCCCTCTAAATATCAGACAGCAAGGAGTCACAGAAGGCATTGAAGAAGACAGCCAAGAAATGTGAAGGACTCAACTTGGCAGAGGTCCAGCTAGCTTGTGCTATAGATTTTACAGCTCATTTCCTACTCCCACTTCACAGTCTCTATCACCAATCTCTTCACTAAACCGTATAAATCTTTATTTGCATTTTCATTTCACTCTTTCCAGGAACAAACAACATTTTACTGATAAATCTTTTCACAGCTGGTCTCCATTTTGTTTCCATCGACTGTGAGAAAGTATGTCGCTAAGCAACAGAGCATGTCGACTGTTGCCATGGAGTAAATCAGCCCTTTCACCATAAAGGGCCTGGCATTCAAATGCAAGGCCTGGGTATTTGAAGTCCACAACTCTCACCACTAATAGCATTCAAATTTTTCAAAGAACTAATTTTGTTTCCAACAGCTTGAATAAATGAACATTAATAGTTTATGCTTACTTGATACCGTCCTTCTATCACCATGGAGATCATGTGAAGAGATGAGGAGGCAATGCACATGGTGCATTGTCTCATCAGTGAGTAAATCACTATGCAGACATGTCACTACTGCGAAGCAAACTACCTCCAAAAGAAAAGTGTCTTTTTGAAATTATAAAAAAAATTACAACGTGTTTTGTAAATTTGCTAATATTAATTTGAAGCAAAATTCTAGTTTTACGTTGTATACAACAATAAAAATACATTTGTTAAAAGATGAATATTTGGTTACGCTGATTGTTCAGTCAGAATATACATCAATTAGCCTGGAACTGAGTAAAAGAAATGAGATATGGACCTGGTCTGTGTTGAATTCGCCAATCTTCACAATTGGCATTGGTGCCTGACAGAATTTGTAGCAGCCTCCAAAATGTAAAGAGCAGCTGTGGATATTATCTTGATTGTTATCCAGCTCCCTATTAGAATCTGCCTAATGAGTTGTCAGGAAAGTTCAGAATCAGACTTATCTATAATGCTTCACATAATGGAATATTTTGGCAATGCATGTTCTAAAGATTAAAACGTGAGGTGAGGCATTGAAAGCCAATGCTTATGGAACGGTACATCAGCGTACATTATAGTGTCTAGGAAGAGAGTAAAGAAAATTTTAAAACAGATTGACCCAACACTTTATCAATATGCTCCTAAGCTTCAATATTTAAGTACATATAACAGGAGAGTCTCACTATACACTAAGTAGTAAAATTCAATACATTAGGAGGTAGTCTCAATTTTGATTTTTAAACGGAAGAATGTTTACAGCTTAATTTTAATTTCTGTCCAGTAATCTTGTCATTCCACAGGGTACAGGCCAAAGGAATTTATGCCTCATATTAGCTAAACAAGGCAAACATTGTCAGTGAAAAAAAAGGATGCTTTTGCTTTTAAATTCAAATATCCCTTTCAAACATGCCAGAGAACTGTTACCCAGCTTTGAAGATAATTACACTGTGGCAAACGCATGGTGACTAGGCATGACATCAGTTTGAACGTTATACTACGTCAATGGATTGCTGAAGGTTAACTATGATGATCATTAATATTTTAACACTTCAAGGCTACTATTAGCAAGCTTATTTAAGGTTAAGTAATATTTTATTCAGGAATAAATGACAATATTGCTTGTTTCTAATCAAGGAAATATAGTGAGTATCTTTCAAAGATAATAAAATGCTAGATGATGTATTTATAATCATACCCTGCCCGTTCCTTCAGTTTCTTATCTGTTATTCCATCTTTGGATACAAGTTTGTTAAATACCAGAATGCCAATAACCATGTTCACCTGTTGAAATAAAAATGTATAAACATAAAATATAGTTTTATGGTCAACTAGCGGAGCTCCAAAATGCAACTCTTATTTTCATTACTGTACTACTGAGACTGCAAACAATGGTAATGAAATAAGATTGGAAACTTGATACCAAAACAACAACGGCTGCAGGTCCCACAAAAGCGTAGAGAAGACCACCTTCCAAGCTGAGCCAGCAACTGCAAGGAAACAACACAAATGTACAGGGTTAGACGAAGGTTCCGAAGGATGTCAATTATGATGCATCTGTTTTATGGTTAGACAGTCTAGTCTTTGATTAGAATGCCCACAAACATTTAAACTGTAAAACAGACATCTTTAAACAGAATTACATTTTTAAATCACATTTATCTAAGTGTCATATGATATGCACTGTTGAGTTTTCCAATTGACTTACATCAATAGCGAAGTAAGCATCACATTCTGAGCCCAAATTTCCAACTTCTAGTTATCGTCCCATGCCCAATTTTGACCTCAGCAAATTATAACAACCCTTTTTTAAATGGTTATAAAAGACAGTCACATTTTGAAAGTATAATTCAAAGTTAGTCAACAGCTAATGCTGTACAGAATGAATATAAATAGGTCAACTTAGAAAACTAGCAAAAGCAAACCAACAGATTGATGTAAGGGTAACACAACTTCCACCTGTTACAAGTCAAGAACTAATCCCAAAAGAAATCTCTGTAATAACTCAGAAATATATCACTGAAATAAAAACAACTTTTGTCAAACCTTTTCATCTTGTACTAAATAGGTCAATTCACAATAAATAGCAATGTAATGGAAAATAACATTAACACTGTTAGCAAGTTGATCAATGGAGAATGCACCAGTTAGATGGTGACTGACAGTGAATTGTCAAGCTTTGTTTAAATTTGAAATCCAGCAAGCTAACTCTAATTAGTCAAGGCATTGCCCTGGGATAAGAAAATTTAAAATGGCTTTCATCTATTTTGCTGATTTGCAACAGATACAGCATGTGTATTTGTATGTTCTTTCTGTCTATGTCAAAAAGGGCATTTTGTGTTCAGTGTATGTGCATATAATGTGTATTCAATATGTATTCACCTACATTCCAGTATATGTAGATATGAAAACGCTGTCAGCCAGATTGACAATTCTAAATTGGGTATCTTCCTCACACACAAAGAATTGTTTAGGAAATGTTGTCCAACTGGAGCACATTGAGTACCTTGCCTGTTGCAACAGCCTAAGGAAAACCTTGTTGTCCCTATCCCAGGACTCTTTGATGGGAACAGTGTTGAGGAAACTCTACTTTCAGTTTACTTTTGGTTCAAGGAGTTGGAGAAAGTTTTCCTCCTTGCTGTCCTCGTCCAGGGAGTGTTTGATGGGGACAGTGTTGAGGGATGTTTACTTACAGTTTACTTTTCGTTCAATGAGTAGAGTTAGCTCCATTCTAAATTTAACCCCATGCTGTCCCTGTCCCAGGATGGAGACAGTGTCAAGAGAATTTCGACTTCTGTTTACGTGTCGTTTAACAGAGTATACTGCTTGATGTGATCCATCAGCCTTTTGGACATACAGTCTACACTACAATAATGTAATTCATATGCAAGTATATTTACTTGTGTGATAATCAGAACATCTTTTTGAATTAATGCTGTTAGTGATGAGTACCATTCCTGTTGTGACTCCATAGTAGCAGCAAGACACAGCTAATTCACCTGTTGCTCACACTTTTCAGATACTACAGATTGGATACTTTTCAAGACCATAAGTGACTACCTTAGGCCCATTCATGAATTTGCATGATAACCGGCAAGAAACGATTGGGGTTAACCTACGGATGGTTTTAATGTATTTTCTTTCAACATCAGCCTCGCATGGTGTACTAATAGCCTCAGGCCCTATTTACAAGGTTGTCAATGAGGCCATTCTTATATCACATAGAACAGTAGGTAAACTAATGTGCTCATTGACCAGTGAAGGCAGGCATCTGGTAGACAGGAATGGCGAATCTCCTGGCCGATTTCCCATGGAGGGTATCAAGGAAAGAAAGCTCATTTGACAGATCCATTTTAATGGTGAATTTGAGCAAAAGATGGAATCTATTAAGACACATAAATAGCATGTACACATTCTGTTCCAGTTTCAATTCAACAAAAGAGGCAATAGCTATTCTCTACTTCATTTCTCATGGCAATACCTTTACCAATCGAAGTGAGCCTGCCTGCTTTTAAAATCGAAACAAAGCTCAGCAGATAATTGTTAGTCATTATTTAAGTGTTATATTTTCCCCGCCAATACCTCTACCAATCAAATTCCACTTGCCAACTAATCAACATTCTCCTCCCCAACTGTATATATAAATGTTGATTTTGCTTTATATTGGTACTTCTTATAAATTGTCCTGATGAGTAGAAGATGAAAAACTCCAACAAAGATGCATCCTTTTTAAGCAATATTTAAATTCTATCATATCAAACAATGATTTAAAAAGAAGTAGTTAGATAGGAACATAACATATGTACATTAAATATCTCATCATTGGTGCCAAAGACAAAAATGCACATTTGCAAAATTGGAAATTAGAAGTAATAAACTAGAAGGATATCAAATTTTAACAGGATGAGAATGGAATTGGGGCAAATAAACTGGAAAAGATTACTGACAACAAAATAAAACAACATGAGAGACATTTAGAATGTTGCTAGATTCGAGGAGAAATATATCACACGCAACAAAATGAAACAATGGATGAACTAAAGAAATACACTCCAAGTCTATGATAAAGAACAATATGACAAAAAGGTTTAGAAAAATGGCTTGGAAACAAGTTGAAAGAGAAACTACAAAATTAAATGATCATGAACTCACACCATATGTAAGTTCAAAAAAGAACACATCAGATATATTCATGGGTAATGTCACAAATATTGCATAACTACTTTGCCTCAGTACTTTTCAAATTGAACTTAACGTTAAAAGCAGAAATTCAAAAGCATATAAAAGTGTTTAACATAGAAGGTGGAGAGAAAATTGATCCACCAGTTAGACAGGATAAAACCCTTGATCTGTATCTCTATGCATATCAGAGTGAGGGAAGTCATAGCAGCCAGACACGTAAAAATATCATTAGAAGAGGGAATAGTGCCAGATGACTCTTAGGCAACTGATGGGGTTCCTACTTAGAAAATGGGAGATAGAACAAGTTCAGGGAACTGATTTGCTTAATATTGCAGCTAGAAAATGGAATAGAATCCTTAACTCAAGGTATCATAAAATCTAGTTCAAGCTCTGTTTCCCCATAATTCTCGTGCAGTCCAACTCTCCTTCTTTTAACCTGTATAATGCTTCTGTCTTTTTTTTGGCTTCTCCATTCATGAGGAAATTTGCTTCTCTCAATGTCCTACTTTAATATTCAAATTTACCTGTGCCATGCCTTCTTCTTCACTCTCAATGAATCAGTATGCTGATGTTCCTTTTACTCAGTGAATGTTTGCACTTCATTTTCTGTGTTAGAAAGATGAGCTTATTTTGTCAATCTCCATGTTTTCCACATCCACTATTTTCATCCATTTCCTTTTTTACTAATACTATTTCTTTCCCTTCTGCCTCTCAAATTTCTACTTTTCCTATTCTTCAATCTCTCTACTTTCCAACTCAGTGCATCCACAGCTTATCCTTTCTACACTTCCTTCCCTGTTTTTGTTCTCCTTCTCTCAATCCAATTTTCTCATCATTGTATGTTTTACTTTCTTTCGTTTCATAGCCTTCAGGTCTATTCCTATCCAACTCCAGTCTCTTGAGAATTTTCTTACCCAAGCAGAGAAAGTTAGTCCAATCTATAAATGTAAACAAATGGACTGGAATAATTTATCCAAACTGCTACAGCCTTCCTCAAGTTCAAAGTGGGCAGATTTCTCAAAGGGCTGAAGATCTCTTCACATTTCTTTTTAAAGCCTTGTGACTACCACTACAATGGCAGCTGACCAGCAACAGAAAACCCAAGTTTCACTCTGCAGATTCATACATGAAGAGTGAGGTTGTGTGTGCAAAATATGGGAGGATTACCAGGACACAACCAAGTATGAGGATGAATAAGAATTTCTTCAGGAGAAAAGAAAATTGCTAAGACTGAAAGTATAGGAACAGGTTACACAATCTGTGGAAGCCTGCCTAAAGTCATAATTCTAATAAGTAAATATTGCAGCACTTGTGGACTCTGCACTTCAGAAAGTTAAGTCCAAACGTTCTCTTCTTCTCCAATAATTGGAAGTGCTTACTACAATACTTATTAGCAGTTTGATTCATTTCCTAACAAAGATTAATGGGAAACAGTTTTAATTAATAATATTTGTTTATTAATTAAGTACAGGTTGGTGAAGCAACTCTAATGCCAAGTGTGATAAAGAAACTCATTACTCAAACTCAGAAGCAAATCTGTGAGAAGAATGATGAATGAAACTCTATTTGTCGATGAGGCTCAGATATTTAAACCAAAATTTAAACAGCTTTAAGCAAATAATTCACAACAAATCGACAACACGGTCTATTCTCTAATAAATATAAAATAGGGAAGTTGTGATGGAAAATTTAATTCATCAGTATTTGTCCATTTTTTTTTACCCAACTGGGATCTTTCCAACAAACAGCAATCTGAAGGATGAAAATAATAATTGATATTTAACCTATGTGCAAGGAAGCCCCTTAAGTGAGATTATACAGTCCAATAGTGTGCACACAGGACTCATTTTAGTAAATACCTATAAATGCTACATTTAAGATTAAGATTACTTATGTAAGTTTGTAGATGATGCAGCAGTCAGGGATACCATTATTTAAGTGTTTTTCCCCCTTTCATTTGCTGCTCTGGAGCAAATATTCCTCATTTTTCCAAAATTAGTACTATCTTGTGGCAGGACTGGAGTGGGAAGTTGAGCTTGTTAAGCTATATTGGATCGAATGCTCCTTCACATAGTTGCGCAGCTTTCTAACACCCACTGTCGATGACTGCATAAAAACAATGACTATTTTGGTAATGTACCATGGAGCTGGTACCAAATCTGATTGGCAGAGACATTTCCATGGAGAATGCATCCGTTAATGCTGTTTGACAGCTACCTGTCAGCAGTGTGCGCTAATGCGCTCTCCATAGCAAATCATCTACCAGAGTCCACTTGCCAGTCAGCACTCTCCTCTAATACAATATGTC